CTCAATATATAGTGTCCGGGAACTCCAAACCACTTTTCACAGTAATTGCTAGTATAGTGGAATGCCTGGAGGAAGCTTTAATGTTTTTCGTCGAAAGAGTGCATCAGCAGTGGACGGAGGATGGTTCTACGTGCAACAAAGGGGAGGGGAAAGGGAGGTGTGAGAGAGGAAACATTTTTTGGTGAACCGATAATTAAACAGTGCTACGAAGGCAAAGGAGGTTTGCCTTCCACCATCGCTCAGAATTTGAACGGTTCTATAGAAGGACTGAGAAATTAATTTTGCAGTTTGGTATCCCTGGATTTAGGTAAGACTGTGGAAAAGCTCGTAAATGTGCATTTTTGCATACTAGTAATGATTAATGAATACTGTTAATAACATTACTATGACTAATACTACTGTCAATCTACCTGTCATTCTGGGTTCGAGTGAGAATCTGTAAGGTCGGGACAATAAACCTCTGGCCCTACCGACTGCACTTTGTCCTTTTGAACTGCTGCAAGTACTAGTACTGCTAGTAACTAACACCACTACATTTTTTACTACTACTTTTCCTTCTCCTCATCATCCTCCTACTACTACTATTACGAATATTACTAGTACCATTAGTGCCAGTAGTACCATTGGTACTACTATTAATCCCATCATTTCGCCTGATAACGTGCTTAATAGTGAACACACGCTTCCGAAGAAAACTTCACCGATTCCAATAGGCATTGCTGGACCTGAGCATTCTCTAAGCAGCCAGATAACTAGAATGTAATTCGTGACTTAGTTGATTCACCTCAACTCCCAATGATGGAGTAATCATGCTTCGCATTCCTTGTTGTTTGTGTTGAGTTTGATGACTCAGTACGTAGGCGTGCGCTGAGTGCGACATCTAAGTGCACGAAAAAACAACCGCACTATCGGCAAGGTGACGAGTCCTTGTCATCCGAATCCTCCACCTATTCCTTGACGTCATTTGGCACTGATTCTCTTTCTCAGTTGGGCATGCCTCTCAGACCTAACAGCTCTACACTGTTGCTTCTCTTATTTTCTCCGAAGAAGTGCTTTTATTAGTTTTTTTGATAATTTTCATTATTCTCAACCTGCTTGATCCTTTGGTATGCCTGCTGGGAAGCAAATGCAGGTCTTTTCTCAAACGCAGCTGTTTGGTTGAGCAGTTTGTTGATGTATGCCTTGGTCTGGATGGGCTGGCTGAATATCCGTGCTTTACGCCCTTAGTCCGATCCTAAAAGGTGGAAGTCCAGCAACTGTTCACCCAAAACAAAAAACGGAATGCAGCGCGAACTGCGCCAGCCACGCACACTTTTACTGAATCGTTTTTGGTCCCGACACTGGTTTACGGGTAGGTTAAGGAATGTATTTCGGAGCCGACAGATGCCGAATCACTGAAAGCTAAAGGTTACCGCTCGAGAACCGCCAGCAGCCGCACCGGAGCTAAAAGTGTATGCAAATGACAATTTCTGGAAAAGAGGAGATAAATTGGAATGGCCATATCAGACCCACTACCAATCATCTACCAGTCATATCTAACCCCATGTGGGGCACCACTCAAGGCTCAATATTCCTGGTCTAAACCAAGAAGTGGACGAGCCCACGGCTCAATGATTACAGCCTTGGGCAGCTAACAAAAAGGTCGCAGTTTCGAGCATCAGGGTGCTGTTCCAACTGGGTTTGGGCAGAACTAGCTGGCGACGGATCGTGAACTAGAAATGGCCACTTCCGTCTCCCTTGTCTTTTCCGGTAATGCTCTTTAGCTCTACTCTTGTCTCTTGTCCTTGGAGTATTTATGAGTTTTTAAAATAGTGAAACGTGCTCGTGCGTTTAAAAAAGACGGAATTTAGTTCATTGGACAACTGGTAAAAGGCAATTTTTCTCTGCAGGGGAAGACAAGTCCCGAGCAAGTCCCTTTTTAGACGACACACGAATACTTGCTAGGATTTGCTTCCCGTAAACATGAAACACAGACCACAATTTGCTCACTTGTGGCTGACCGAAACTTGCAAGCGTGACTACTAGGAGTTCTAACACTCAAAATGGAACTGACTGAAGAACAGTTACCAAACATTTAATCATCAAGCAGTCGTCAGAGTTTAATATTCTCCACGTCGGTAGGTCATCCAGCACGGAGTTATGATTGACCAACGTATCCGTAAATACCTGATTGTCTCAACTTTGATGACTCTGATGACTCGGGAATCTTTAATCATAGGTAATCGTAGAAACGTCTGAGACATGCGCAGATGCTTTGCCACGAGACTCACGGCTGTTGTCTCACAGATCTGCAAAACCGGAAAAAAGCAACGATTCGGTTTAGTCATCATCCTAATATATTTGAAATTAGCAGGGCAGTCCAAATCAACGAGTTAAAAACGTACTACTTAAGCACCCATTTTTTTTAGAGCATAGACCTCTTAGAAACGGTCAGAAGGAAAGTCGTTAAGAAGCCGGCATCCTGGTATGACTGAACTAACTTGAGATTAAGCAGAAAGAGAATCAGTATTACAACCCAACTTTATGTCGTTTGGCGAGTGCTTACTAATAATGCGCAAATTTCCACATTTTGTATGAAAGACGCATCATGCTGTACTTTGCAGCTGAATGTCCATTTTTCTCTGTTTCAATGTCATTTGCTTAACGTTTATAAATGTAGATTTCAAGGAGTAACTTCGCCACAAAGTGGATGAGAATAGTGGGCCGGCCATTTCATGCAGATTCTTCCATCTCTTTTTTCAGGGCGCGAAGGACCCCGATCAGGACTGTGATATGGTTACTGCGCTGGACAGAGACGCTTGTGAGTGTCAGGTTTCTCTTTTTGTCAACTTTCGATCAAGTATGGTTTATTTAAGGCTGCAGATTGACCGAATAACTGATTATTGGAGTAGAGTTAGTCAGCTGTTGTTTCTAAATTGATCCTATCCCCTACAGCATATAATGAAACCAACTAACAAACCTGGTCTTACCATGACTCTTTGACCGATGAAAATAGTGTATGCGTGGGCGCGTACCGTAAACATGCCCTTCCGTATACCTAGATCAGTCTGAGAAGAAGCAGATGTGACCGTTGGGATAAGATTTTTAGTCATCTGACGTATCAAATCCATGATGAGAGACAATGGTAGAAACGATTAAGTTATACACAGGGTAGAGTCGCTATGCTACTGTATCGTAATGACAATAAACGGGCGAGATGCTGCCAATTAGCAAGTTTTGGTGCAGTCGACGAGGCCCGGCCACACGATAAAATTTGATGAGATCGAAATTCTTGCGAGAGGGGACAATCGTATGAGTCTCGAGTTACTCGAGTCACGGTTCACGAGCCCCCAGTATATAAAAGACTCGCCCAATCTATGGACGGTGCTGTGACTTAGCTTGGCCAACAAAATTCGGCACTTGGGGAACGCCCAGGCAAACACATTGCCTAATGCCTGCGCCAGGGAACCAGATGGCCGAGCAATCATCCAGCCCATGTCAACCACGGGTGATGAAAGTTCAGCTGGTCACGACCCACACGCCGGTCATCAAGCAATTAGCGCACAAGCGGGCAATTATCGTCGATACGGGGACTCGTTGATTGCCATAAGTAGGCAGTAACATTGCCACTGTATCCTATACATGCTGCAACTTGATTTGTATGAATTATCGGTATCTGGTATTGTTTCTGATGGTGGATCCCCCAACGATTTCGAAGCGTCTTTTCCCAGCACATGTTCTTCTTCTTCGCAACTCCTTCCTCCGACTCGCCTTTTCGCTTGTAGTCATATCAATCTGACATAGTGAAGGGAGGAAGGTCAAGGCCGCTTATGGCTTCCCCAGTCTACGTTTATCATTTTTACTTTAGGTAAGAAAATCACTTGGATTAGGAGAAAGAGATAAGAGTGGGGCGTATTCCTATCTGCATTCCTCTTCCTGTGAACTTTGCTAAGTGAATTGTGCCAATGCCAGCTTCTCTTGGAGCTGACATTGGGGTTGTCAATATGATAAATCTTCCTACGTAACATCTTCTAATGGTTTTTCTTTCTGTACTTAGTGACGCCGACGGAATTAAAATTCTTGGAGGCAGCCAGAACCAATAAATGCGACATCCTCAGGTCCATAATCGAACGCAAAAGCTGCAATATCAATGTAAAGACCAATCTGAATCGAACAGCCCTCCATATGGCGGCCAGCCAGGGCAATTTAGAAGCAGTTCAGCTGCTGGTCAAGGCCCAAATCATCATTGATACAGCGGACAAGGTAAGTTAAAGATAAAATATTGGCTAGTGCTGTATGTGTAAAAGAAGTCTGTAAACGAAATGTTATCTTTGGTGGATGCATGCTTGCCGATCGGTTCTGGGACTGACTTGTTCCGTTCTGCCGCGTGACCCATTCCAGCAACTGCAAAGACACCAGTGTTGTACACAGAGGAAAATTGCCGATGGAGGCAAGGAAGACCGGAATGGCCATTTCTAGCTTATTGGTCGTTATCGGCCGGCCCTATATAACCGCAGGCGGCGTACCACCCTGGGCTCGAATCCGTGACCTGGTGATCAGAAGTTCAGTGTTCTAACAATTGAGCCCCAGGCTCGTTGTCTCCCAGTTTAGATCGGGAGATATTGATGTTCGTTGATAAATGTTCACCAATCGCCAATGCTCTTACCCAAATGGTCTTCTTCTTATAATACTAGCCGCCGAGGGGCCGCTCGTGGCGCTCGAGAATGAGCCACAGGGTACAACAGGACAAAAGAGTCCCATAACCAACCGATGAGTTTGCATCTATCAATGTTAATATTCAGGATCCAAACAGTAAGAACAATGAGCTCTTGATGCAATGAGTTAGGGCAGTAGACTTCTGGTCAACAGATCGTGGGTTCAAGCCTCGGATAGTGCATAACCTGGAGTCGAATACGTATGGCTGGTAACCGCTTATAAGACAGAAATGGCCATTGGTTTGCCTAAAACTACAATCCGTTAGCCGTTGGAGCCGTCAGTTACCCCGACGCAAACTACGATTTCGACCCTGTGCTCCGTGGAATAGTGAGAGCAGGATAGTGACTTGCGTTTTCACTCGTTTTCACTAGCAGACTTGCACAACACTTACTCTTCAGTCTCACACTCCGGGCCCAATTGCAGACCATTATCAGGACGAGCAGAGTTGGGCTCAGGCGCAGTGGCGAACAAAGCTTAACCAATCGTCTACGCGTGTCACTAAAACACATACATTCTCCACGCTCCTACTGAAAAAAAAGAAAATATTAGTTTGGGTCCTATCTGAAAATGTATGCCATGAAGATCATAGTAATAAGAAGCCATTAAAGCCCGACACTCCGCCAGTTGGCCATCTTCTAAGCCACGAAATTTAGCACCGAATCGTCTTGAGAACGGAGTCTCCCCCAAAAGCCCTCACTCCCTGTTTCTTCTCTGATGCCCCAGCCAGCGTCTTGAGCGATTTCCATTCGAGGATAACAGAAACTACTATGCTCCACACATGGTGGTGCAGGGACGACGACTAGCACGTGAATAAGTTCTAGGTGATAATAGAATTGCGCGGCATCTACCGCACTTTCGCTTCTCTCACCCACCTGAGCCCAGTGTCAAGACACAGTCAGGAA